GACGATATTGCCAAATTTCGTCTAACATATTGACCGAGAGCTTTCGAACATTCTGGTGTAATCTTTTTGGGACGACCGGAGCGCTTTTTGTGGGCCGTACTCCCGACTTTTCAAGATTATAATAAATAGTTGATCTCGGGATACCTGTTCGACGTTGAATTTCAGCAGCATCTTTAATTCTCTGATTCCACAAATGTTGAATGGATTGGGCTTGTGCAATTTGGTAATAAATGAGGCAAATATGGTTATAACAGTGGTACAGCGCTTTAACTTAATTTGGCTGGGCTGTATGACTTTTAATTTTGTCGCTGATTGTCCAAAGACTTTTGTATAAAACTAATCAAGAAAGAAATGAAAAGGCTCAAAACTCTCAAACAAGTGTCACAAGTTCTGTCACAAGTACCTGCAAACGACTTGTGACACTTGTGACAAAAATTTCGGCATACTTAATGCGATACATATAGTCTCTGCAAATCGTATATGCTAACATAACTTGATTCTATACGCGTTCTGGCAGGCTATGTACGCATGTAGCCATAGTCGTTATGCAACCCGGTTAAGTTTATCCTCACATAGCTGATCTTCAACGTGATAAACTATTGAATATGGCTACATTCGATTAACGATCCCCTGTCTATTCGTGGTTCGGATAAGTCACTTAAAGTATCGGTTTCGCCTATCCGGGGACCGCTCTTAATTCGAAATATACTGGATTCGGAAACACCACTTTTTCTATCGATATTAATGTCATTCATCAATTCATAGAACCGATTATAGAAGATTGCATAACTACTATGTATATCGCAGTGTACATCATTTAATTTATCAATGAGCATTTACAAAGGAATTTCGATCCGACTATGCGTTTGAGTGTCATGGATCATATGCTATGAGTTAATAATCATGTGTTTTGTTTCCCATGGATTTCGATATAAAAAAACCACTTGCACAAGTCAATTCTGCAAGAAATCTACACTACAAGTATCCTGAACAATGAATTTCAAACAAATTATCATCTTGTTGGAGCTCCTCAGTCTTTTCCTGGTTTGTGTATATTTGTCGCTTGCTAAGGCTACATTATTCATTTAAGTAACAAAATCTAATCATTAAATAGGTTTTTACTTCTCTCCCAACGGAGGCTATTCCTTCTGATCTTGAGCTTGATGGCTTCTCCGAAAAAGTTACTGTTCGTACCCTTCACAGTCGTGGTTGCCCTTGTAAAGACTGTTATATCCCAATTGTTGGGGCTGAATGTTGTGCTAGGAAGAAGTGCAAACACGCATGCCCTGGTTGTGGATAAAAATATTTAGACTACAATATGTCAAAATGGTCTAAAAGCTGGTCCAATGACAACTCTGCTTATGCTGTTAATTGTGCCTATCCTTTATTTTTTCTTCGTTATTAGTATTATTATTATTTTTATTTTTTATTTCTTATATTTATTATTTTATCTGTAATTGTCTCTTATTTAATAATACGTTTAATAATTTCTTTATAATGATCGATCACTGATGATTGATTGGTGTGATCAATAAAGAATGTTCGAAGCATTCCACTCCTGTAAGCTATAATGCAAAAGCGGATCTTTATCTGTGTATGTCAAAATTTGATTCCCTCTGAGTGTTCATGATGTTTGAGGTCACCATAACCTGTTCGTGCCTCGAACTGGCATTCAAATATCAATGCCTATATAAAAGAGCTGGAGACTGCAATCAAAGAAGCATTAAAAGATATAAAACTTATTCGTAAACCTGCAATCAAGAATCCTGTCTCCTAATGATGCATAAATTGCAGGATATATCATTACTTTTTTTTCGCCACTTACCTCACTATCGACCTCCAAAAATGATGCATAAATCGCATTCGGCCCGTCAATCTCGTGATGAGGCCAACCAGACATTCACGACGGAAATCGGCGACGATCATCAAACCGGCATACGATAAAAATTGGCTACGGTCGTCGTTCGAGTAACGTGCTAAATGCGATCTGCAAGTCAAGCTTCAGCGAGCCAAACGTGATCTACACGTCATCCGAATGGTATATTATAAATACCTCATCTATGACGAGGCAAACGCGAATTATTGCTCGTCATTCCTGAGTATATTATAGTATAAATTAAGTAGTTAATAGTTTCCTGGAAACTATTAACTACTAAGATCGCTTTATAACGAAGTTCTTTCCAGAACGAATTCATATATTTCATATAAAAAGACAGTTCACTTAAACAAACTTTCATGTTAACGAATCAAAATTGTGGAACGAATGTCTTCGTTAAAGTGAATTTCACTGTGTAATTATTAATCACACAGGCCCACAGTGAAGTGATGGTGAGAAAAACTCATGTTTACGCGGAAAAATTAATTAACTCGCGGTTTATTCACTTTTTTAGACATTGTTTGCCTGTTAATTTATTACGTTTAGTTTTTGTCTTTTCATGTCTTTTACATTCGAATTTTCTCGATGTTTGCTTGAACTTAAACGATCAAAAAAATTTTCACACAACTTTTTTTAAATGAAGAGAAAGTTAAAATTTAATCGATGCATTGGGATGCACCTAACTATTTTCAGTAACACCCATTTCTATAACAAATCTCTATCTGTTTATTTATAGTGTACAGTATTTATGAATCTGTTATAACCAATTAGTAACCAAATGCTGTTCTAGTAAATCTTGTATAAAATTAGAATTAACAAGAACCAAACAATTTACTTGCGAATGATTGGACAAGAGAAAATCTTAAATCTTCATTATATCCAGAGTTCACAGATTGACTAAGGAGAAGAAATAAATAAACACTAACTTTGGATTTATTAAGAATACAATATTGTTAAACCCCCACCATTACATATTAATATTTGAGTTGTCAAAAATTTGAACCCTGAAAATTTTATTTAGTCAAAATATGACACAAGATTCAACTGAGGTGAGCTAATACTTGTTGCGTCTTAGATGAGTTTTTGGTGCTGGCATTTATCCTATATTCAATAACACGGCTTTGGTATACTTAACCTTTATAGGTATAGGAGAAACTTATTGGATTGTGTGTTTGCCAAATAAACATTATCAATCTCAAATCTATCCAGTATATGTGTTTAAAGCATCAACAATGCTTAACTCGATTTGTATTACTTAATTTCTTGATTAATTTCAGTTTCTCTTCTTCTTAACTTTGGTAAACCATTTTCTAAAATTAACTGTTTTGATTTCCCAATAATAATAACAAGTTTTTCGATTAATGAATTAATCTTCCATGGAAAGTTACTTTGCCTATAATAGCCAAATTTTTCCAAAATTTCAGAAGGTTTAACTTTATACATTTGTACTTAAAAATTTAATTCACTCATTTCCATAGAGACTTTCACATAATGTACCCATCACAGCAAATGTAATTATCTGTAGCTTTTAAAACCCTAATACTAGGGCTTTTGTATCAGAGAGTATAGAGAAAATTAACCCATAAGAATGTTAGAACAGACAATGCAGAACAAAAGTTACAGTTTAAATAAAAAGGTTTGTGTTTGAAAAGTAACAGCTTTCTTAAGAAAATCAGAAATTTTGAATACATGTAGCTCGTCGACTTTATCTTATCAAAGTTGACTATGTATGTTGTTCTTTATTTCTCTATTAGCCACAGAATTGCTGCTATTACTATTGACTCCTCACAAGTGGCCGCTTGATCAATGGTTCTGCATTGTATAGTGCATATTAATGTAGAGCAATTTTTCCTCCTTAAACTTTATTTTAAAAATACTTCTAATTTTGCGGATTTCAAGTAATCAATTTATACAGTCAACTCTGTTATACCGGAAATGTATATACCGGAATCTCACGGACAGATTCTTGCGCACCGTTCGTTTCATATGAAAATTCTTTGTTTATACCGGAGTCTCTTATAAACTTTCCATATACCGGATCCGGAAGGACACAGAGAGCTATGCCAACCCGTTCGGTATAAACAGAGTTGACTGTATTTGTATATTTTATATAGAGTCTATATAAAATACATTATCATTATGATGGTAATTTAAGTAAAAGGTTTATTATTATCTCACCCAAGTTTACATTTTGACATTATATTTAAAATTTGGTCATAAATTGACAGCTGTGCCACTAAATCAAAGCTTTCTTAAATATTATCAGTCATATTATAATTAGCTAATGTTCACTGCCCCATATGATACAAAAGCAATACTAAATTAATCAACAGCAAGGACAGCATTAGCATTCACAGTTTTTGCTGTACGAGCAATCTGTGCATCTTCAAGCTTCAAACTACCAGCGAATAAAGATTTAAGCATAAATTTCATGTGAAACATATTCTCAGATCTATAACGAATAATGGGTAGATACAGTCTTACCTCGTTTATTGGGACGGAGCTTTTTCGGGGATATTTTTCGAGGTGGGATACAACTGGCAATTTTATTGGTTAATAAATTCTGTTAATAAAGTTGGCGTTTTGACTTTTCTAGTGAATCGTCTGAGCGTCTAATTGTACAAAGTGAACCCCGTTATAACGAAGATTAGTAGAAAATTTGGTTTAAACGAGGTTTACATAGTAATAATAGTAAATTCAGTTTAAACGGGGTAAAACCACTATTACTGGTTTTTGACCCTATCTTCGGTATAACGGGGGTATCACTTAGTGCTTCATTATAACAGGGTTCGATTTGATTTTGTACTACTATATATCTTATATCACTATGTGCGCTTGATATTTGTGGCCTGATTTATGTGGCCTGATTTGCGCTTGATTTGCGGCCTGAATTTATTAAAGTGGCGTGATATTCAATTGGTAAGCCTGGTGGCACATATTATATAAATAGAAATGGCATGATATTTTGTGTCACAGCACGGGAAATCGGGTCCATAGAATTTGGAATACAAATGAGGTAGATATTCAATAAGGGAAGAAATATGACAAGTTTTTCGAAACATTTTATAGGCACGAGAAACAGCACCGAGATGTATAATTTCCCTGAATATATCCTTCGGTTTTGCCAAATCCCCGTCAATTCAAATAATATGAAGAAAAATTGCTATTTACTCTTTTGCGCCGGTTAATTAATTTGTCAAACATTTAATCCCGTAATTGATTCATTGAGAGAATTGAATTCCAAGAAATTTCTGGCATTGTATTGCAAATCGAGATATAGTCAAACTTTGCGAGCAATTACTGCGTCAATGTCAGTATCTGGTGCGCCTCCATTTAGATGTTAAATTGTTTCGTTTTAGCAAAAGCTCTTGGAGTAGAAGTGTCGTTGGGATGCAGTGAATGGAATTAAAGAATACGTCTAGTCTCTCTAAATGCGCTCTCTCCCTTATTTGTATTCCCAGTAGTGCTAAATGCGCACACCGTGCAAGTGACATTAGTTACCAAAAATTACCAAACTTGGTACGAATTGTAACCAGACCTTGATTGTATTCTTAGCATCAGGCCATAAAGTCAGGCCACAAAGTCAGCGCGATGCGACAAAGTATTTCAAATAACATTCACATTATTAATAGTTGCATAAATTTATAATAATAATATTCCATAAATGCATGATCTCTATATATACTCTCTAATGCACGCCCTCAACTTCTCAGTCCTCCTTACAGTCACCGTCTAAACATTTCCTTAATAAAATCCTCCCATACAGTCACAATTCGTTATAGTCACTATCACCGTTTTGTGGAGAACGAGTAATTATGCAAGTTCCCTCTATATAGTCACCACAATAACACCGAAAAGTGCCACAAGACGGCAAAAATAGGAAGATTTATTGCCGTTGCACTATTTTTGGAAGCGCTATTACACATTTATAACTGCTGGCAAAAAGTTGGAATTCTCTCTGGAATGCAACCAAGCGATGTTATCGAAGTATGAAGAGAGAGAACAGACAGAAAGTGGGAAATGCTGGGTTAGATGAGATATATAGTATTCACGTGAATCAACGAACCAATCCCGACTGAAAGCGATTTTACAGATGAACACCTTTGTTACATCAGAAGCAATTGAGTCAGTTGACAGTCAAAATGATAGTCCGGTGATTTCATTAAAATGTTTATTACTTTCTATGAGCAAAAAGATAACAGAGACTTCGATGTTGGGGATTTAAGAACGTTTCGAAACACAAAAATAGGTTGCAAATCGATGATAAGGTACGTATAATCACTTGGCAACTTTATTTATTTATCTATATTGTGACTAGAAAATTTATAGTCACCATCATAGTCAAAATTTATAGTCACCACCCTGAATGACCAGTCCCAACGTGGTGACTATATGGGGGGACTGTATATGAATCCCAATCGATATTATATTAATATTAATATTACATGATAGGAAATCAAGACTGCGTAATTTAAACTATGTAACAGAGATGCGACAAATATATGGAGATGGCTTGGCCATTAATATAATAAACCTAATTGAACGATATGGAATTTCACAAAGTTTCGTGTCACACAATTAATATTAATATATCGAATGAATACTAATACAGCATTTCTTGGTGGAAAATAGCCTCTTGATAAGTTTGTCACATATTACTTAGCAAACGTTTTTTCCCACATATTGCATGATAATTAATTATCAATCAAAGTCGTAATGTCAAATAAAGAATGGAGTTAAAGGAAATCAATTTCCTAGAGAAATGTTAGTATCCAAGGGGCAAATGGTCATAACATAGTACGACTTTTAGCATTACAAATATCTGTGCTGCCATCAAGCCGAAGATTGGCCGTCTCAGGAAGTAGTCAAGACTATCTATAAAGCTTCATCGGAAACATATGCTTTAGACGCCGCCGTCCATGATGCTGATCTCTTTGATGTTCAGGAGTGATGCATGTTTCAGGAAGTGACGACAGGTAGATCGACTACCGCAAACACTACCGCAAACACTGCCCATCAAACTCTCGCAAACCCAAATTTCTAATCCATCGTCCATCTCATTGATAGTCAAAAAAGTTGGACATTCATCTTTGAGCGATGATGAGCGGGCCGGGCCATTCCAAGACCAAACGCAAGTGTGTCTTCTAGAAAATGGCACCCACCTTTTCGGAGTAGCTATGCAATAAGCAACAACTTAATTGTCCAGCCTGTATAGTTTCTTCCTGGAGGTCTTCTTTTCTTCTTTATGAATTAGACTGCGACATAATTCGCTGCTGCCTGTGTATTATAGTGTATTATATATACCTTATATTCTCCTTACTTCGCCGGTCCACCTCAAAATCTTATTTATCAACGTTACAGGCATCCGTAAATATGCAGCGACCAAGCAGGAAGATAGACTAGCATATAAAGCCCGGCAATAGTTCCTTGGAAACCGAAGCAATTCCACCTTGGGGCTTTAACCAGAGGTGAGTTCTCCATAAAATCCCAGCTTGTAGGATAACAGTTGCAACATTCTAACAAAAGACAAGTAAGCAATTAGGGGGCTTTTGAGGGGAAAGTTTTGTAGCGACATCTCTCGTACTTCCAAGACGGTTTTAGTTTTAGTTACCTTCTCGACATATAGTTTCGATACAATTTTAAAGAATGACTTTTGTCAAAGGTTACTGTTGTGCTCCGTGTAATTGTGTTTTTCATTGGTGCTATGTTATAGGTTAGGGTGAATTATACGCAGTCTATTAATAGTCAATCTAAACTTATTGTCTTTTATTTATACTATACATTTTGTGAAACTAACACACCAATGTAATATTCAAGTTTTTATGAATGGTACAGTATATGGTAGTAAACATAATATTAACTCCCATATTTGTACCGTGCGACACACAGCAAAAATCAATATGAATCACCCCCCCACATTCCGTTTTTCCAACTCTTCTCACCCACTCTATATGTTAGTGGTTTTTCACATTTAATGTTTCAACATTCATTTCAACGGTAATACTTCCCTCCTTATACCCCCTCATAACCCCATTCATCAAATGGTCAGCAAGTGCTACTATCACAGTTCAAACGATGCTGCTGACTACTTCTCAAAGGAACCACCAGTCGTTATCATCAATAATCGACCCCTTCGTTCGGTAAGAATGTATCGACGAGCAGTGGCCAACGTCGACGCAAGATTTTCCTTCACCGCGACTACTATCGGTCAAGATTTGTATCTAATTGGCGGCCAGACTGCTCCTGACCCCACAAAAAACGCAATAGCGAATGATATATTGCATGTCGATGATTCTTTGAACGTAGGCCAACAGAATACAAAGCTAACCGTGCAGGGACACGGAGCTGTTACTGTCGGTTCGAAAGTATTAATATTCTTTGGGCAACAATCTCTGACACCTCAAGTGTTTGCGGCTCCCATCCAGCAAATAGACCCAGCAACTGGTGCACTAACTAATTTCCCAAACAAAGGAAATATACCGGCGTCACGTTTCGACCATACCGTCACTGTTGTAAATAAAAAAGCGTACATAATTGGAGGAAGCAATACAAGAGGAGTGCTCAAAGACGTTTCTTATTTTGACCTAACTGCAAGCACCTGGCACACGCTCGATGCAACAAAATTCCCAGACAATGCAGCTATCTCTGGTCATGCTACAATCGCCGTAAACAACCTTTTAATCTCGTGTTTCGGCATAGACGCTAAAAGCGCATTGAGGAATGACTGTATTATATTCGACACCGACAAAAACGACTTTGTGCAAGCAAATATCTCTGGAGAGACTCCTCCTCCGCGTTCGGCCGCAACTATGATTATCGGTAATAGTACATCTGAAATACTGGTATTTGGCGGAATGGACGTTAAGAATAAAGCAGCATTCAACGACATGTACATCCTGAATGCATCTCGTGCACCCACTCTGACGTGGAAGCAGGTAGCTGTAAATGCAAAGAACAATACTTTTATTCCATCACCGAGAGGAGGACATATTGCCACTACTTTAGGTAATAACACAGTCATGATGGTATGGGGCGGTATCGGGCAAGGTAGAAACATGGCCGACTCTTCTATGTACTTCTTTGACCTAACTAATATGCAATGGGTTGGTGAGTCAGATGCCGAAAACATAATTTCGGGTTTAGGAAATCCGAATGCAACGTCAAGCGATTCATCAACTAATAATAATAACGGCTCACATGATGAATCATCAGGTGCTATCATTGCGGCTGTACTTGGCGCAATAATTGCAATAGCGTTATTAATATTCTACCTGGTAAGACGAAGGAGGTTGCGGCAGATTACATCATTCGATCGTGCTGTAAACAATGATCCATACATTCGCCCTGGCGGTCAGCTCAACGAGAGCTTTTCAGACTTGTCGCTAAATGATAATGCCGGTTGGTACATGGGACACTCGGCTGATCCAGTTACGGTTATGACAGATAATGGCATGGAATATAAAGAGCCGCAAAATTATGCAGATTCAACGCGACGTCCATCAACAGCATCGGCTGATTCAGAGAAACAGATGATTCTGCACGCCCAAGAAATGGCCAGGTCTTTACCTCCAATGCCAGTTCCAAAGCCTGACTCGTTACCTCCAATGCCAAGTATTGGTTCGGATTCATTACATTCTACGCCAAAAAACACAGAAGCATTACCGCCTACCCCATCGTCAATGCCCGCTCCATCATATAACTCTCCTATGCCCTCTCCAAAGTCCATGACTTCCAATCGTAGTTCTGACTCTTCACACTCTAAGAAAGGTCACAGAAGAACGTCGTCAGTTTCCTTGACGGCTGCTGATTTGGCTCATCATATGTTTCCTAAACCGCCTTTCCGTAACTCCGTGGCTTCAGAACGATCTTATGGTTCACAGCGACCGTTTCATCGTTCTCGTTCCTCGTTGTCGCAAGTGTTCAGTCCCGAACTCGACGAAACAGATCATGAACTTTCTAACAACCATTCAAAGAAGCCGTCTACTGCTGCTAGTGATGTCGTACACGCTATTAGTTCTCCTCCCAGGTCTCCATTATCACCATTGCCACATGACAAAGAGTCGAATGACATCTCAATGCAACATTACAACGTGGTAAGTTTTGCCCAGGTGAATTGGTTATATCAAAAAGGAAATACTGGTTCTTTCTTTACTAAAAATATGAAAATTGTTACACCTATATTTCAGGATGTCTCCCCAGCGGACCCCGAATTTACTAATGCTAGTAACGGTGGTGACTACATAGAAGGTACTCAGTTTGATCGACACAGTTATGGTGGTGATTTCCTAGATCACAAAGAAGTCGTCGCCGCATACGACGGACAACGTAGGGACAGCGAACCTTTCCAGTTCCCACCCAGGGATAGCACATATGAGCCGACAAAGGACGCGTCTGAACAAGATGACATTCACCACGAAAGAACCTTGTCTTATGATCGCTTACAAACCATAAGAGAAAGTGATGTGTTAGACTCTTATACCAGGGAGTCATTCAACGAGGCAAAAGTTGTGGGAGATCCGTTTATTAGCAATGAAGAAAAGAAAAGACTATCCAAGAAGAAGAAACGATCATCAGGCCGAGTCTCATTTGCAACTGTTCACGAGAAAATAGAGTTTGATGATACAGAGTCATCTCGAAGCGTTTCGTCAGCAAATTCAGTGGTTTCGGAAATACTCGTAGAGAGTGTCGATGGCGATGATAAACCCGAATATGAAAAATCAAATTCAAAGGACAGCAATAATATTATCCGTCCCCTGCGACTATATGAAGATGAAGATGAAGATGCGGCGAATAATGCTTCGCGAATAAGCCGATTCAGTTTTAGTGTTTACGACTTTACAACCGACGATCCGATGCCAGAGAATGCTGCCACAATAATTGCAAATGTTCAAGCGAAGGAAGTAGACGAATATCGACCACCATCGCCGGTGAAAAGAGAGGCATCGCCTGATATCCGTAATAGTATTGCAGAAGTTGCCATAGATGGAGGCGTGCTTTACGCATTGATATAGAGTATATTTGCTTTTATTATATATAATTACTTTTAATTTTTACTTTGACTTTGTTCATTGGATATGTTAAATAGACAGCTTGTCGTGTCCTGCCGGTCTTTTCCGTTTCTGATTTCTTTCTAGAATTTCTCAATTTTTCCTATAAAGAATTAGTCACTCCTTTTAAATTTCAACACTTAAATACAAAAAGTATTTCCGTTGGTTGGAGCATTTAATGTAAAATAAGAAAACCTCCCCCTTTTTTTTACTTTATTCTCCGAATGTAACACAATGTATTCTTATATCCGTTTTAAGTCTTCCTTCTTTCCACACGAGATTAATTGGATGCTTTGCTATAGTGTGGAATCATTGGCTTTATTTTACCTCTTGCCTTTGGTTGCTAGGCTTGAGAGTCACGTGCGTATTATATACGATATGCATGTTCGTTTATTTTTTGTAAAAAAAGAAAAAAAAGAAAAAAGTTGAAAAGCCACAATCCAATAAACTGTAAACTGATTGAGAAGGAAAATGTGTATTATCATTGCAAACAACTGAATCTGTTGAATGAGTTTCAAGTCCAAGAGAATTTTGCCAATCGTTGTTAATACATTCTAACATTCGTCTTGCAACGTAGCTTTGAAATTAAAATTATTATCCAAAGTCAACACGTCGTTAGATGATGCTATGATGTTGTTATTGCATTATTGGTAAGCTTTGAACATATGTCTGGGCAATAGAATGCACATTCAATGTCCAAACAGATTGCCGAATCATGCAGCGCGTGTGTATAATACTTATTATGATGTCAAAAATGGAGCATCCACACTCATTGTAAAAGTAAATATAGAACAACAATAGACCAAATAAACAAACCAAATTAAACCGTTATTCTGTTGTTCTAATTTGGAAATTAAACAGATTTGCAAAATAAACTTGTTTTCTTAACACAATTGTTGTATGCTTTTGGCAGTATATTGACATCATGTCTGACCCGAAATCTTATTTCAAGACAATACAATCTCCCTAGTCTTATTCTCCGGAACATGCGCCAATGATTATTCTTAATATGGATGAAAAGCATGACGGTTTATATTTAATCCTTGTAGGCAAACAGCGACGAGATGATGTGACATGACGGTCCTTGATGGTTCGGCTTTGGAGAATGCCGGCTTTGCGGCTTTGTGGGGGCGGGCCGGTGCTGTCATTTGAGAAATTGATGCATATGTGGGGTGAGCGATTTATTGGATGGTAACTGATATCCGATTGCTTTCCCGCTGATTGGACCACAAGATGGTATAGAACAAAGCGTTTTGTGGTTAATTGCACAATATTCGCAGTTAAATGTGCCTACATATGGGCGAAAGTGAACATGTGACGTTGCATATGTCTAGTGTTTGTGTTGAAAAATACACATTAAAGTGATTATCTAATTGTAAAGGCAGGGACCCAACCACAACATCGACTGCGACGTCCACATGGCTTTAAAAAAAGAACTAATGTCACTGCAACTCCATATTTAATATTGCAGTATTGTAAGTAGTATTGTAAGGCGCATATACGCAACACGTGATACCCCCACAAAATTCAAATCAACGTTACACAAAAAGACCATCATCTTCAGCGGTTTTTTCCGTCATCGGGAGACTTGAGCGATGTTATCTCGATTTACTCCTTTCCTTCCAGGCAGAGTAGGATGCATACCTTATTTATCCCCTCTAAAAGCTATCCCCAAACGTACACGTGTTTTTTTTCCATATTACACAACGTCTAGTTCTCGTCGTTCGCTCATTTCTGCTCGCCAGATTAACTTAACTCCGGCGTTTCTGCAGAAAATCCCACAACGCGTTTCTGGACTGAACATCTACAGTCATAAATACGATGGGCTTGCCACTGTTAGAAAAGTCACTAGACGTATTCGAAACATTACACTAGGGGTCTTAGGCATATCTACTGGAACAGTCATAGTGTTATTAGCTTGGAATAAAGAGTTTCGTGAAAAGTGTTACTTAACGTGTGCGGGGTTGTTTCGATCTAGTGTTACCATATTGACTTGGTATGAAGTTCAAAATCCTTTTCTAAATCATTCTTTTCCAATATACACCTTTTTTTTTAATAGAGTCTTATTGCAATAAACGATGTTTCTCAATTTCTTCATTACTAGTTTTTTCTGTATGCTAGACTATAAATTATTACACATTCGATATCATCGTAAAGGGTATAAATCAGATGAATATAAGGCAGCACGGAAAATCGTACACCTTCGAGTTGCAAAGCGTTTACTGCGATTGTGTAAAATAAATACTGGTGTTTATATCAAGGGTATGACTCAAGGGCTCGGATCACAATAATTGTAATTTATCGTTAGCGTTCTTGTTTGGTTCTGAAAAAAAAACTTCTTGTTTTTGTTGGTAGCTGGTCAACATCTTGCATCTTTGACGTACATAATACCACGAGAATTCACAGAAACCCTCGCCGTGCTGCAAGACAAAGCCCCATATAGAAGTATGGAAGATGTAGAAAGGGTGTTTAAAGAAGAGTTCGATGGAGCTGTTCCGAGTGATCTGTTCTCTGAATTCGACGAGACACCTATCGCGGCGGCTTCTTTGGCACAAGTGCATAGAGGTGATAATCCTGATCAAGTGAAGAAGGGGGAGGTTATATCATTTATCCTCTATTTCACTCCGTTTCCAAATCAACCCGATTTTTTTGTTACTACTTTCGTCCTTTATGCTTCACTATTTCTAATCGAATTCGTCTCATTTTATAGCTAAAACAAGAGACGGAAGAGAAGCAGCCGTCAAAGTACAATATCCGGATGTGTCTCGGCTGTTTAACGTAGACGTGTGGACTATGCAAACCATGTCAGATGTGATCTCGCATTTCTTTCCTGAATTCGAACTGGGATGGATAGTTGTCGAGTTTAAACAAAATCTAATAACAGAGTTTGATTTTGAAAACGAAGCTCGAAATGGAGAAACAACTAAACTGAGATTCCGACATCATGGAGACCAGTTTTCTGTGCCTCAGATCTATTGGGATCTGACGACGAAACGCATTCTGTCGATGGAATTCATTCGCGGCGTTAAAATTAACGATGTCGAGGGTTTGCGATCACTTGGTGCTGATCCAGTCTGGGTGCGCAATTACTTGCTGAAGATATTCGCTGAAATGATATTCTGTCACGGAATAGTTCATTGCGATCCACATCCCGGGAATGCACTGGTTGCTCTGTCTCCAACGACAAATAAGCCGCAACTGGTCCTTCTTGATCATGGGCTTTATCGAGAGTTGTCTGATGAGTTTCGAAAAGTATATTGTGGACTATGGAGAGCATTACTTTTGAATGACAATAAAGGATTGAAGGAGGCAGCAGAATTCTTGGGCGTAGCAGAGTATGTGCAGTTTCTTCCGTTAATATTTACTCAACGGTTGCCCGACTCGTTGACACCACTTGGAGAAGACATGCCGGACGAGGAACGCGCTATGGTGCACGATCAGCTCAAGAGTGTGACGCTTAATGATTTTTTAATTTTCCTTGAATCTCTTCCGCGTGATATGTTGCTTGTATTTCGTACGATCAATTTGCTACGCGGAATACATAGAGAATTGGGTGGTAACTCTATCGAATCGTTTAAGATTAATGCTCGTTATGCAACGCGCGGGTTTTGGTGTGAAACCCGGGAGGAGGAAAAGCAGCGTATACAGAAGGCGAAGGCACGTGGATTAAGTGGAGATGAAGCGATGGTCGGTCCGGTACGAAGATGGTATCTGTTTTCCGACGCTCCGAACATTTGGAGAAGTTGGGGATTTGTTAAAGATAGACTATATATGAGCATTCGTCTGCGAGTAGCGGAACTGCTTGTGAGATTTCTTCGGTGGTGGTATGGTACGAGGACCACACCATCGCTGGAGGCAGTAGTATAGTATCTTAGTTGGGTATAGTGAGTATGGTAATAGACGATTTAATATGTCTGCAGGTTGTTAATTAGCAGTCGGTAATTAGCTGGGTAAGCGGTCATTTCTTGTCTCTTGTCACATGGTTACTGGATAAGCAACTCTGACAAGTTTGTGGTTTCATTTATTTTATTCTGGGTCTCTGGATGTTCTGCATACACCTGCTCTCTATTTAGATTAGCACTTTAATCATGATGTATTCAATCCATAACCTATTAACAGTGCAGTATTGCATACATTACCCAATATACCAATGAATTTTATAATGCTAAGTCATCAATACAGTGATAAAAATACAGATACGTGTGATATGTAAACGATTTTAAAATGAACCATTAAATAATGTGTTATCTATAAGAGTTAAATGCTATTTACAATTACGAATGACCGGACAATTAATAATAAACGTCATAGAAGAGAAGGGGGGATTGGGTAGGCAAGGACTTAATTCTTTGATGCTTCTTCATCGTATTTCTTTTTATATATCCACGAATTGCCCATAATGCTTGCACCTTGTTCACTTGCCAAACGATAATATCTGGCCGCTTTTGTCAAGTTCTATAAATAACAAAGAATTACAAAGTGTTAGTGGTCAAGATACCAATGAAAATCCAACCCTTAAAAGTCTACAGAGATGATCGTCGGCATACATAGGAGTACTGGCAATATCTACTTTTCCGTATTCTTTAACGGAATCCCTTTAGTTTACTACCATTTTTAGTTTGAGCACTTGACCATTGGTTAAGCTGTAAATGGTACACTAAAAAAAAAGGTCATGCGCTTTTCGCGGACATCAATTTCCTCTTTTCATGTATACCGACGATTATCTTAATAATTGCATACAGCTAACCAATTGCATCAGATTCAAAATTACTTACTTTCTTGACGCCCTCGCCATTAGCATAACAAAATCCTATTTCATTTTGGGCATCCGGGTCGCCAAGACTTGCAGCCATCTCGAAATAATATGCAGCCGTCTGCTTGTTCTTTGGAACGCCCCAACCGTGACGGAAACAAACTCCAAGCTCGTGTATTGCCAATACTAGCTCGTTCCGTGCAATGCTTGGATTAGCAATGACCGACGATTGTAATTCATCAACAGCTGATTCAGCTGCCTTCTGGAGATATTTCACGGCTACAGTCGGATTGGCTTCACATCCCCACCCGTGTCTCAATGCAATACCGTACAAGAAATATCCTAGCGGACTTTTTCTCTCAGCTGCAAGCTTAAAGAAATAAGTGGCTTTGTCCAATTGGTTCTGTTCATGGAATTGTATGGCTTGCTGAATGTATTCATCCGCCTCATTAAGACAGGCAGTAGGTGATTGCGGTATAGACAAATCCTCCGATGACTTTCCAACTCCCAGTCCAATAGCTGGTACTATATTGCCGGTATTCAGTGCTAATGCTCCAATGCCTACCATTCGCGTACCTGACGCTGGAACTGGCAGCGTCTGTTGAAGATCTCTTGGAAGGGTTTTGAATCCACGTTTTATTGTGGTCCCATTTTCCGTATTGTATTGTGCTTTATTATCGCGTAGCATGCCTATTTTTCTCAAAGGTAATTCCAGCGATCGTTGACTCGAAGACCTTGTGTTAGTTTGTCTTGTGGATAATGGTAATTTATTTGGTCTTTCGCTGAAAAGATCGCCACTGGACTTTGAGCGCTGAAATATGGATTTCTTCTTCTTATCTTTCGATGACTTGTTTGACGCAAGTAATCTTCTTATAGTGTTCATTTTTTTTGAAGTCTTATTTAAGAATAAAAGGGCTTAATGAAACTATCGTTGAAATTGGGATAGTATTAATGCAATGGTGTCACTATTTATATGCTATAATTTTCCCATTATGGTATTTTGTGGATCACTATGGAACGAACCGCTTGTGTCCTAAAAATAGATCGTGAAACCAACAATGACGAGACGCTGTGGCCGAGATATCACCTTATAGTATTGCGTTACAAGGATCATAATCAGGATATTGTACTATGGTGTAACAAACAAGCGATACGTGAAACGTTACTCGTGTTATCAAACATTGCCTCTATCGCACTAATTTCTTTGAAACGACCCAAAACTAATCTTCTCCTGGTCTAACCAACATCACCCAACATCACGAGACAGACCCCAGTTTTCAAACAGTGTTTACATTATATGCTGTGTTACTGTCGAGATGACTTTTTAATATAGGGATGAGTTTACGTCATACCAAGCAATTGTGTCTTGTAGATGGCATCGTTGGACATTGACAAGGAAAATCTCCGAATACATTTTATAGCTTGGCAAAGGTATTGATATTGTATCAATGATCGAATGTTGTTGATAGCACGTCACCTTTGGATGTAATTGGCACATACTCACTTATCCACGGGTATGATGACACAACAGGTTTACCAAGTACATACGACAGAAGCGAGTTCGTCTGATACTACAATGGCAGCAGGCCGTCGAATTTGATAGAAAGAAGACCCTAAAAAGATTTCTCAAGAAATGGCGAGAAGTTTATGTACTAGAACTGGTATTTTTCGGCTGCCCACAAGATAATTGTTCGGTTATTGGATATACCCAATTGGTAATTGCTCGTCTCTTCAGCGAAAATCAAAGCAAGCCGAGATCAAGTATCTTGGCATCGATGCGAATGAAGATCCTCGTATGTGGGATGACGACGCTGATGACAATTCGCTTCAGAAACTATTCAAGAAATGGAGGGTCAGATACAACACCTATTCCTCGCTCGGTGAGATGGTTGAGGTTAGTACAACCATGTGGAGTAAACTGTGCCAACTCTTCATCACTAATTTGGCCTCGGTTCATCATAGGATGAATACAACACCAAACTGTTGAAAATGGCTTTTTATCACTGGAAGCATCTATATCAACGGAAAAAGTCGATGGAACAAAGAGCAGACGAATTTATTTTACACAAATATTATCTGGAATGGTATTCAAGGCACGTGATTCATACACATGTCTATGTTGATTTCGCTTCTAATCTTATCATACTATTTCTTATTTAGAACCATTCAGATATTGAAAACGAAATCCGTTGACAAGCCATTTGCTACTAGCGTATTAGCAGGTGTGTGTTCAATGATGATTTTTAGATACACCCGTTTACTCATATGAAATACATCTATTCGGTTAGAGTGGTTATCATGGGCAGTACAGAGAAAACACGCTCGTGACGAAAAGGCCATTAATCGAATACAATCCGAAGTAACAAACACTGCCGTGAGCGGTACATCGCTTTTGGGTGAGGCAACGATGGCGTAAGTTGATGAATGCACGAAAAGACAGATCATGTGACAAGCTACATATTTGGTTTGAAAACGAGCACTTGCTAAACAATTATCTATTGGTAGAAAGTATTTCGCACTATGGAAAAATAGACTCGCACACATCCGTAGATGTCGAGGGACTGCTAAATTACACCACGAACGAAACATATTAAAGAAGGCATTTAATCGATTTCCACGGGCCTATTTAAAAATCCAGCATCTTTCAACACGATGCTCGCAATACCTTGCACAGAAGCCTTGCAAAATAACTCATCGTGCTTACTTAAAGTGGTCCAAGGGATTTCGTTTACACCAATTAACTTATCATAATGCGATAATAAATTACGAGAAAACTTTGACACGCAAAGCAGTTATCAAGTGGTCTCATTCTTTATATGATCTTCGTCGGCAAAGATTAAAAGCACTCGAGCATGATAAGCGACAGATGCAACGAAGGTCTATGCTGTGTTGGAGGCAGCGCTTTCAAAAGCAAAAAATTATGGCCGAGCGTGCAGAATCACTAATAAACAAAACGGTATTATGGAAGTGTCTTGGCAAATGGCGGGCATTACTTGCTGGGAAACAACGAGATGGTGTTATTGCCACAAACATGTACAATGCTCATTTATTAAAATTGCGCTGGACGCTATGGAAGACCAAACTAGATTATGTCAAAAAACGTTCGTACTGTGCCGTCGAAGCCTCTCACAGGAATTCGCTTCGAAACAATTTTACAAAGTGGAGGCTTGCACTAGAAAGACAACAACGTGAAAGCGATAATGCAATCTTGTATTATACGCAGAAACTCTTAAATCACAACTGGGAACGACTGAAAAATAAGTGGAAAGGTCACGGCTTGGATAACACTAAAATGAAGACAGTTTCCGACTTTATAATGAGAACACGTCGAAAGAAACAGAAAAAGACGCACGATGGTAGGAGATTTTCCTTATACATTCTATAAAAATTTCTTTGCACGATGTCTGATTATGTTTTCCCATACAAACTAGCATATCGTTTGGGGAGTAGAAAACGACCGAACACTCGTCTTGTACTTTCGAATATATTATCGGAACTTCCCAAACACTATTCTACATCAGAAAATGCGATTGCTATTTACGACTTTCGCCTTGTCAATACATGTTTGATTATTTGGCGCCAGCGCTATCATGTCGTGAGAACGCAGAGAGAAGCGGAAACTTACTATGCTACGAGAGTTCTTTCACGTGCATTAAAACACTGGAGAGATCGATGTGAAGTCAATCAAGAAATCAATTACTTGGAATCATTAAGGCCCTTTACGAAAGCGAACAGCGAGAGAATACTCCGGAAACATAGAAAAGAGCAGAAAGTATTTCTTCTGCGCGCATACTTTTTTGTTTGGAGGACTAGGGCTGAATCAAAAGTCATTCAAAGCTATGAGGAATCTGTTTTAAGACAGGTAGGCTGACGGATATTTAGGGTTGATGTAACATGATAACGGTTATTTTCTAACGAATCAAGGTATTTGAATTAGGCTTTTACAGTGTGGTACGATTGGGCTGTCGGCAGCAGAAATCCTGATAAAAAAACCATTTCTGAAGCATTTGCTACATGGAAATGGCGTTATGAGAGGGAAGAAGGTGAGACATGTAATACTGTCTTTTTTAGTTTGCGATTTTATATATTCTAAATTTGCTTCATTGAAAACTCAGCCCAAAGAACCCGTGCTGCATACATATATGAAAGTTCTACTACACGCAAGTTCTTCTCTGTCTGGCGCTCTCGTGCTAAAAAGTTGAGAGCAAAAAAGCTTGCACAGGTGGCACGCGTGTTTCGTTGCCAGCGATTAGGGTTGTGTTACTTTTTACTTTGGAGGTCAAAGTTGGATTCGCGATCATACAACAAGTCACAAAAAACGGCAATGAAAAGACATGCGTATGAAATTTTTTAGAACGTATCGTCATTCTTATGTCTGGCGAAGAACGCATGCTTAAAATCGTTGTCAATGGCTGACGATATGCTCGAACACGGATTTAGATTTTCCGTGCCTGTCTTGGAGTTTCTCTTAGGTACTGCTTCAAACCGTTTAGATAATTAATATCATAGAATCTTTTTTTTTTCTAAATTAAAACCAGATTGTACAATACTTGTAAAATAAGAGATTAGCAGTAATCGTAAGTAGTAAATAATATATCACCTACTATTACCTGTCTTGTGATTAAACGAAACGTACTAAATAGAGATATTGTTCAAACTGCATTTAGAATAAACTTGGTAACTTTCTTGGCTTTGTTTATGATTTACATGATATCAACTCTATATTAATATGAATTAATCCTACTATATGCTTTCGGATATGAATTACCAGTGTTCGTTTACAGCATAGAAATCAGTGTTTAAATACATGTATGCCTAGTAAAGAACACAAAATTCTAGTACTCGTTCATACCCCACCCCTCTTGGCCCGTAAGCGGAAGAAGTTTTGCATCTGAAAATTTACCTTTCACAATGGGGACTCTGAGACATTCACAGTTGATAGTAATAGGTTACGTGTTTGCAATGACACATGATACTAAGTACTATCAGAAACTTGATTCTTATTGCTGCTCATTGATCTTAGTTTCATCGCTTACGGTCTCTGCTGCATCGATCTCTTCTCTCCTTAATTCATCTCTCACCCTCATTAGTAATACGCCAAGTCTATTTCTTCCCTTCCCCTCTCCACCTCCATCTCCCCAGTACCGATCTCTAGCCGTATGTTCCACTATTTTGGCATCTCCAGTATCCAAAAGTTTCCTTCTTAAGTCTTCGTGCTGTGTAAACTTTGAAATTAATGCTCTCATCATAATATCTTCTTTAACCGATTCCCAATCTTCACGGAGAGGATAATCTCGTCGTCGACCGGCTTTGGCAGCTTCTGATGGTGTGGAAAGATTGCGTATCTTTTGTTGAAGTTCAGGAAGTGTCGGAAATTTCTGAGCTTATAAACGTAAGGTTACTGATTATCGTTTGATATCACATCACAGATGATTTGAGCGCCGTCAATGGCATCGCAAAGCTATAACAAACCTTGGAAGTAATGTTCTGATGTGGGCCAAATCTCTCCATCAATCTCGATTGGTGCCCCATAGAAATTACTGAATATGCCATATTCCTCGTTCTGCCTATAAAAGTTGATCGTATTTTGACCCATAGTAATAGTCAGTCTCTTTCTTGGTAAAGAAATTAACAATCAATTTGTTGATATTGTAGACCCTTGAAATGTTGGCCATATTTGGAGAGTTGGATCTTGTACCCCACAAGTGTGAGTAAATAAAGTGAGAATTTACGCTTTATCGACAAACAAAGTAATGCAATACAATTTTAGAACTCAGGTAACACAGTCTATTTATCCTACTAATTAAACAGTTAGCATATACCATACCTCAGCATCATTGCGAGGAAATTTTTCCAATATTGACAACGGAATTGTTGCTTGGTAGCAAAGCGGACTTTCACTGTGATTGGATGATTGATGAAATATAAGACAACCTATCAAATACCCCATCATCTGACTTTAAACGATTTGGTGGCCGCGGAAAACAATTGGCCAAGAACATGGCTAACAAATTTCGAAACCGCACCTTTTACCTTCCATTTTGCAAACTATGAAAGTAATTCGGAAAACGGCGAGGTAATTCTACTAATTATAATGCTTTTTCTGCACTCTGTAGTCTTTAGTATTAGATGAACATTACATTATAATTACAAAGAACATAAACCTTTAGAACACTTTTTTTTTTGCAAGATACTGTTTGAGTGCACTCATACTGTTTCCAGCAACAACCATAAGGCAAGGGAAGGCACTATAGCTACACAGAGTAACTATTCCAGAGGTGAATAAACATTTAAACTTGGTTTGTAAGGTGTTGTGCAGAAATCCAAAAAGACTAATGCATGTTCTCATCCAAGCATGATATATGAATCTACAGCACATCCAGAATGCTTAACCAACTTCAAGTTGTCACATACAATTACAATAGCATGTTGTTACTGCCTATTATTATATAAATCCAACAATGATCCTGAATATATAGATGTATCTGATTATTAGTATTAGTATTAGGAGGTTATCAATGTAACACTCAGTACCCAGACAGTACATTGTGCTTTGAAGAAGCCATAACTTATGCCACAAAATACTAACACTGGACCACAGAAGATTGGAAATGTGTTGTTTGGTCAGATGAGACCAAAATTAATCATTTGGGGTCTGATAAACATGAGTGAGTGTGGAAAAAGCCTGGTGGGATAATGACAGAGTAGCATGTCAAGGGGACAGTTAAATTTAGTGGTGGAAGTCTGATGATTGGGGGCTGTATGACAGCTCAAGGGGTCTAGCTATGCATGTTGCATTGATGGGCACATGGATGCAAAGCTTTACACTCATATTCTTGAAGAAGAGTCTCAGATGCTCTAAAACGCGAATAACTACAATGTGCACTATTCGACCTGACTATCGTTCCTTCAGTATAAGGAACTTATCTTGTGGATAAGTGCAAGCTTTATTATCAACATGTCTGATATTTCTGATACTTCATCCAATTATTCACACTATTGCTATGTTCACTCTATTCCCTCTATTCCCTCATCAGATATTACATTACCATCAATTTCCAAAGCTCCTTTTATACCATTAAATCCAAATACATCCTGTTCTATAGTAGACATATTCAATCCATATGCATTAGCAAGGATTATTATTATTACCAATTTTAAAATGTCCAAATATCCTGATATTAGATTCATTGCAGAGGGGGAGGCTATCTTATTATTATAGAAATAAACTTAATTATGAAAGCTTGCAATGACAATTAGTATTAGCTGATCAGCAAACATTCAACACAAATCTTTAAATCAATTTCTGCAGAAAAGTATCTATGGAGTTTGTTTATCCAATATTAATAACCCAATTATTGTGCGGAACATGCCTGGCACACCAGAATGGCTGGGCTTAGTGCCAGAAAGGCTATTCATTACTGTTTACCGCGAAGATAATGATACTTATAAACTTTGAAAAGAGCAAAATGTATGCTTTGGGATCACATCAAAGAAACCCATCATAATAACTATGACAGAATATACCAATCAGCAAAAAAATAAATAAAATAAAAAATAAACAGACTAATAAATAATTTCAACAACCAGCAACGAACGAAATTACCAATTAGGAAAACAGTTCCCATGTCTATTTTTAACTACAAAAAATCCGGCTGGGGTTAATGAGGGGGTTAATGAAAGAGCTAGATTAAATACTTTTATAATTTTCAAATATCTCTAATTTCTATTGACATCCCTCGGGTGCTAGCAACTTTAAAATTGAAAGCCGTTTTCGGTGTTGATCATTGCCAAAAGATAATAAAAAGGAAAGGTTTACATTGTGCAAATAGAGAGGTTGAGACAACAAACAAAGAAAATGTGGGTTCAATCTCTACAATATGTTAAATTAATGCCTGATTTTAATAACGAAGAAACTTCTGTTTCTTCAAGTTTTTGTTTTTTTTCTCGGTTCATAAGTTGGTGGTGATGTTTGTTTATTGCCTTGTATTTTTCGTTCTTCTTATTCTTGGTAAATTTCAATAAGTGATTTTTTTGTTATCTAAATATTCCTCAAGCATTTAATATCATTGATTTTAAAAGCATATGGAACAATTTTTTCTCCTTGATACTTGGAACAACGGTCAATTAGTAACAGCATTGCGATCTATAATTAGCCTTTTATTCATTTAAATATATACGCACAAGAGGGCCATCTTAATCACAAGGCCTTCACCCATAAACTAACTGAGGAAGGTGCCCATAATTTTAACAAATTAATTTAATTATTACATTACAAAACAAGTGGTACATGTCTCTCGGGATCATCAAACAACAGCTTCTTTCTCATAGGCCGTTCTTCCCTACCCGATTTCCTGATTAATTTGAATAATCCAGTGCCCAAGGGCATTGGCATACCCATAATAATCGACTCGCTGACACCTTCGATCGAGTCTCTTTGGCTATATAATGCAGCCTCGAAAAGATGATCCGTTGTCTTCTCGAATGAGGCCAACATAAGAACACTATCTTTCATATTAGCCACGCCGAACCTGTGAATTCCGAGTACATCGCCCTTTTGAGGGTAAAAAGATGGTTAGTGCAAGAGTACTTTATATAATATGGGAGAACTGAATATGCTGATGACAAGTAGACTCACTTTGTATGTCATGATATCCCCGAGCAGCATTACGTGTCTCGGATCAATGCTCATGCCGTGACTGCTCATAGTATATTGGATTTCATGGATAATAGTATTTCTAAAAATAAAATAGATTGTAATTATAATGCTTGATATGTCTATTCTTGCTCGATATGTTGCTCACCTTGCAGCTTCTATTCCAAGCACTTTACGAACTTCAATTACGTTATTACACGTTGTTTGGGTACCGACAATACCTAAGACGTGTACGATTTTTGTAATTAGTAACTATTAATCGTGGCATGGTGTGATTAGCCGAATACAAACTCACCTTCAGTAGTCATCACTTCCTGCAGTCCGTATCCCTCGACAAGCAACTGCTTCTTGTCTTCCGTCATCTCGCTAATAACAGCTCTTGTCACTGTCTGTATACCCTTGACTATAACTTTGGGTAGAACACGCTTGAGTGCTTGTAATCTGTAATAGAGTACCAACGGTTCGTTCTCTGATACATTTACGATTATTTGATCTGGCTTGAGCACTAGCACATTCTATCAAATAAGCAACAAAATACCAATTGTTAACAGTCGACTCCCGAGCATTAATTCAGCAAATTACTTACCGATTCAGCGAGCTTCAGTTTCCTAGTTTCAACAATTGCTTTAGCTATGTCATCTATATTAGTCTCTAACTGTTTTTAAATGCAGATCGTTAAACACGAATATTCGATAACCAAGATTTTACAAAAAATCATTAATAACTCACTTGTAATTTTGTGATAGCCTCTAAATCAAGAGTAATTGTAAGAAAGCATTCGTCTAATTTATAGACTTCTTCTATACATTTTGCAATCTGAGAAAGTGTTCAACACAGTTAATAAATCAACTCCCGACTTTTCCAAAAGATAATACGGTTGCACCTACGTACATCTCCAAGATAAGTCGTTTCTAATCTGCCTTTGACTATTCTCGCTGCTTTTACGTCATGTTCACTAACAAGTTTACACGTAATGATGGGGGTGCTAATTGTTTTGGTTGCATTAATAATTTCTTTAATGCGTGGCACACCAAGAGTGACATTCATAGAAGCAACACCGGCAAAATGGAAAGTTTTCAAAGTCATTTGAGTTCCTGGTTCACCAATTGATTGTGCACCGATGGCACCCACAGCAGTCCCTATTTATGTGATTGTAGTAATAGAAGGGTATTATGAACAGAATCATATTTTTAGACGTAAAATTGCTTAAACTTACCAGGTTCGACCTTCGCATTCAAATATTTTTTCCAACAGATACCAAAAAACTGTTGAAGCTGGGCTTCTGTTACGTATATCTTTTGATTCACTACATGACTAATCGCAGCTACAATACAGTGTTTTTTTTGCTGACTTTAGATACAGAGACTCGTGTGTTATGAAAACCACTTGAACGTGTATCTTGAAAAATACCATTGTTTTCGCCGTCTACTAACATCGGATCGTCGCCGGACTCGGGATTCTCATTAGCAGGCCATAACCCATAACTTTCTCGTAAAGATGCAAGTGGTTTCGCCAGCTCCGCATCAACGTAATCGTATATCGACTGAATAAATGACTCTGTACACATCGAGGTAAACCGGTTAGTCGAAAGCTCACGCCTGGTGATGTCCCTTATCTGATAGGGAAGTAATCTTGGTTCATCAGGTGCGGCTGGACTTAAACCCTGGTATCGAATTATGCATTCAGTACGTCGTTATGTAGGAAAATACACCTGATAAAAGCTTTAAATTGTACCATTGCATGCTGCAGATTACGTCTCAAATCAACGGGTAAACCATCGCCCTCTAGATAAGTAGGATCGAGACCATCGTCGCCATAGCAGAATTGCACCAATGATCCTGAAGCATTTCTCACAGATAGATCGTAATGAACAGTCAAATCCTCGAGAGCCTTTTTGCAAAAATGTCATGTTAGTAAAAGTATGCCTAATAAATGAACATATAGGACAAACGATATTAATTTTAATGACCTTCATCAATCTTCGTTGCATATAGCCCGTCTCGGCAGTTTTAACTGCAGTATCCACTAGACCTTCACGACCAGAAATTGCATGAAATAAGAATTCGGTCGGTGTTAATCCACTATAGAAACTATTCCTAACAAATCCTCTTGCCGCAGGAGTCTTTGCTGCAACAAGACATAAGCATTACCAGTTTAGCACAAAAAAAAAATCCGCAAAAAATATTATCAGATTATATTAAGTCACCTACAATGTTTTAAGAAATGGGGTAGAGACCTGTCCTGAAATCCATCCGGAATACGACTGCCACTTATAATCTGCTGTCCAACACAAGCAACCATCTGAGATACGTTGATTTTCGATCCTAAGCAGAGTTATGTGTTTAATAATTACTTTGCCGCAGTGAACAGATACAAGGATATTCCAAACTTCCCGCTTGTATTTATACCTTTTGACCCACAAGTTGCCATAATAAGTGGTGCGTTGTATCTGTTGAGTTCTTGCATACATATCTGACCAGCATCATCACGAACTTTTGACAAGACACCAGAGATATGGGTCTACAATTCAGTATTAACAAATAACAGTCAATTATTGAAACTTATCCCAAATAACTCATACAGTATCAAGACCAAGTAAATCAAAATACGCCATATTTACTTCCAAAGTCTGTTCTTCATTACAACCAGGTTGATTCACCAATTTACCGCTTTTAGATCTTTCGATTAAATCGTCACAGGTCTTGTTGGCGGACTCGATGAGTTCATCCTTTTTTGCTTTAAGCACTTCACCCGGCTGTACATCATTAATACCAATGGAAAATCCGCGATTTGCTAAAGAATAAGTGATATAGCAAATTATTAAAATCACTATACCGTCTATGCAATGTCGTACAAACAAAATATGACTCACCCAACCATCTCGAGCATAATTTTGATAATCGATTCATTGCATTTGCTGCCTCAAATGACCCATAGTCTCTTAATATTACGTAAAACAACGAATGTTTATTTCCATCACCTACTAGCGACTTATCCACTACACCGCAAATCATCACACTGTTTCTGATCACCACATATCCTTCGTTAGGACAAAACTCGGGTGGTTTACCTTCCCTCTTCTCAAAAGATCTCCCTTTATTCTCCAAATTAACTAGAACTTTGGATTCCCTATTTGGTCTCATTAGTACATCAAACACTTGCTTTCCCGTCCATAACATGATCGGTTTCCATATTGTCGGGAGGGGGATATCAATATGTAGATCGGCATCCGCCATGTATGAACAGATTTCAACAAATTGTGATCTATCATAAAAGACATCTTTTTGCGTAAGCAGGTAAGATGAAGTGACAAAGTCCTGAATTGCAGCGATGATGGGTTCGCCATTACGAGGTGTTACGAGATTATTCTTTACACCCATTAATTCGATAGCTTCTGTTCTGGCTTCCTCTGTTTGGGGGACATGGAGGTTCATTTCATCGCCATCAAAGTCAGCATTATAAGGTGTGCACACGCATTCATTGAATCGGAAAGTTCGCCAGGGTTTTACTTTAACCTGGAAAATAATCAAACAATTGAGACTATATTCTCTGATCATACAGCAAGCTCATGATATAATAACAATGACTTACATAATGAGCCATAATACTAAGTTTGTGAAGAGATGGCTGTCTATTGAACAAAACCACGTCTCCATCTGTGATGTGTCGTTCAACTATGTCACCAACGGATAGTTCTGCAGCGATCGCTTGTCGGTCACCGTACCTCAATAGCCTACATAAATGTATGTCAGCGATAAACTTGCAGGTTTTACTGCTGCCACTATTTCAACATTCGCCATACAACTCATACAATAAATTCCAAACTTACCTTTTGAAACCGTTTCTCTGTGTCACAAAATTGGCTCCTGGGTGTACGTCGGGGCCATTAATGACACACTGTTGCAACTTCTTGCGATTGTGCTCGAACACTCGTTCCGGGTATGTCAAAATTTTTGCAACCAGTATTGGCACGGCGACCTTTATAACATATTTGCTTAGATAATACGCAGAATGCAATAGCATGCGCTTGATAAGTCAACATACCTCGTCAATCCGCAGGTTTGGATCAGGCGAAATAACAGTACGGCCGGAAAAATCTACACGCTTTCCCGAAAGGTTACCGCGAAATCGACCTTGCTTTCCTTTCAAGCGCTGACATAACCCTCGAATTGGTTTTGTAGACTATAAATATGTGTATATTAGCACAAACCAAATGGGATACTTCTCGCGTAAATTGTTAATACTTACAGTAGTACTTGGAACACCGGGTAATTCACTGTTTATATACATCGCAGCAGACAACTGTAAAAACTCCCACTGTTCCTATATTCGAATGATAATACATCTCAATAAACAAAGAATATGCTCAAAGCGTATATGCAATATTTTTAACATACCATTAGTGCGGTTGTTGACGCACCTCTTTCGAGTGCAGTCTTAATTAATGCATTTGTAAATATAATCTCCGTCAACTTTACAGTTAGATCATCTTCAGTGCTATGTAACGAAAACAAGAATGTTCAAATGTATTTTATATGTAGTAATTTGATCTTTATTGGCTGATAAATACTCCAAAGTATTCATCGTCCCATGGAAACAGTCTTGTTCTATATAAAAGGTAGAAATATTGAAGACAAGCACGTAATCGAGTTATTCACCACGTGATATTATAAAAAAGAACATACCTTGCGTTGTCTTGTGCGATAGACGGCCTTATAGCAACAGGTGGAACAGGGATACATTGCCATATGTACAATTCAGGTCTTCCGTTCTTGGGATCTAAACAAAGTAGCTCACAGTCCTGTGCGGTATTAAGACGGAATGCGCGTGCGCGTGTTATTTATTTTTCAATCGCATATAAAAAATGCTTGAAGATTCACGAGAACCGCAAGATCACCTCAGACGATATATTTTTGAATAGTTGCAACACTCGTAGTGGATTCAAATCCTCCTGTGCTTTATTCAAATGATTTCGCACATCCGGAACAAATGATATAGCCGTTTCAAATGTCTTTCTAAATTTATCTTGTTCTGTTGCTGCTTTTTTTGTCTTAAATTTCTCATGCACTATCTTTAGTGCGCCAGCCTTTTTCACAGTTCCATTAATAGCTCCACAGTATGGGCACTCTACCACTTTTTTACATATCGCGCTTGTGGCTTTTATGATGATCTTCCGAGCTGTTCGCTCCAATTTAGGTTTTCGAAGACGTTGCAAGTATCGTCGGCGATCGGGTTCTTCCATTAGGACGCGACTGCATGACTAAAGAGGTGCAATATAACGAATCCGACGAGTTCACAACTGATTAATTACCAAAGAACCGGATATCAATATATCGACATCAAGAGAAAAATCAAACACACAAAACCTTGCATATATTCTGTAAGATCGAAATTACTGCTTTGAAGTAGCCGATGTGAAATATCGGTAAGACCAACCGAACGTAACCAAAATGACCAACGCATAGATGCATCTTTTCACCGCATGTTTCGCATGCCATGTCATGATCCGACGTGCCCTGCAAAAAAAATTATTGTTTCTGTATTTGCCAAAAAGAAAACTCATTTGAGGCTTACACGTTTACTTGAATACTTACCAGACGTGGATCTAGTACGCTATTCTGCACGGGCGTGCGATCGTCATTATAGAGATCTCGTTGCGTTACTTCAATCTGTGCAACTTTGACTATCTCGGCTGGAGAGAGTACACCGAATTGGATATGCTTTCTACACGTATAGTAAACGGGATAAGTACATATTATGGAAGCGAAAAGCATAACAGCTGCAGTAAACGTACATTCGTTTGGAGCCCTGGTCGAGTAATTGTTCCTTCATTAATAAAGTAAGAGAGGTCAAAGGCCGACTACTACTACGGTTATGTTGATTGGCTGTTTATATCTAAACCTAAAAATCATGTGATACAATATAATCTCGAAAATCCTTCAGGTCAAAAACGTTGGCATATTGTATCTTTGTCGCAGTTGATAGATTGTCGGTCTATAATGATACTGTTAATAAACGTAAAAGTAAAGAACAAAGTAAATGCGCTTCCATACCTCCAACTCTACAGCTTTTCTCTGCAATAATTAACTGTGCCTTACTAATATCAGAACGCGAGAAAAAAGGAGAGCATCCCTATCTGAATAGGACGAATTCGATAAAATTTTTCCAAAGTCCAGACTTCTACCTTTCGTATACAGATCCTGGTTTAACTCAACCCCTCGTTCAAAAGGAAATCCAAGCTCAAGCGCATCCAAAGATGACGAGTACGATCAATATATGGTCGTCAATATACCTTTTCTCCGGACAACTTTAATACTGACCCGAAGACAGTCAGGAATACGACGAGGTATATGAAATGGAAAGTAGAGTCTTACTCTCACTAGTAACTTAATCGAGAGCAGCCCCGTGGTTTAAAGCCACACGCGCTCGCTGAAATACCTCAATGTATTCATGATGTTCCATACTGCTCAAAACTACTGCAGCGGGATAACGATAACGAGAACTATTCTGCATTTGGAATCTCCACAAGTGGTGAAAACTAAACCGGCCGTTTTCGGAGCGGTTTTTAACATGAATCAGCGCTAGTTGCGTTTGTAATAAACATCTTTTTCCGTTGATCAAGTATAAGCTGCAGTTTTGCTTCCGACGCACGGGCCGGGAAGCCCGTAACTGATAGCGCTTCGGCGCGAACAACCCGTTGACCATTGAGTGGAGAGATCAGAGCATTGCGTTCAAATTTGACCGGGGGGTATTCTCAAATTTTAGCTCTAAGCCTCGATCAGTCTCACGAACAGCATGTTTGATAGATAAAACCTTTTATACCTAGATAACTATTCTGCTGACATCAGAGAACAAAAATTTAACCATGGAATACCGTCAATTCGCGGAATGAGAATGCGCGAGTTATTATTAACACAGTCAAGTTGACATGGGTGCTTTTTGTCACAAGATCCCAGACTAATATGTAAATATTAGATAGCTTTATCTGTAAAATATCTCTTTACTTACAAAAATCAAAATTGGCGAATATATAGTAATAGTAACCCGAACAACACTGAATAGACTGTGTATCACAAACTTCGTCGTGTCACTTAATTGCCAGTAACAGAAATAATTGTAGACAACGCCGTGCCGTTCGCCTTTCGTAAGAGCTACGAGGATGAAACCGTGTCAAATCAATTTTGTTCTCTCACTGTAAACTACAATACTGCCAAAAAACTCACCCTATAAACACCAGATCCCAATCCATCGTTTTTAATTCCGTATCCATAAAAATTGTCCACCATTTTCACCACTTTATCTTCTTTAAACTCTAGTTCACAGACACTGTGGTACTTAACCTCGAAATTCAAGCAGCGGATTGTGTTTCGAACATTAAGGTCAATCCGAACGATATCATCATCATTGTAAATAATCTTGTACGACTCCATACAAGCTTTCGAGACAGGTTTACTTAAGGCGTACCACATGGCCTTCATCTTGTTTATACCCTGCACGTACACGAACTGGTCTTCAAAGCTATTAGTAAGTGCATGATGGATAGAGATTTGATACGTCAGCTCTTTAATCTCAAAGACTTGGTTCTCGCATTAATAGATGCATACGTACAGAACATCCTGAGCAAAATGAGCGAATTTATCATCAGATAACTCGAGACAGTACAAGCTCAATACATCTTTTACAGCACGTTCACAAAATTCATCTAAACGAGGAACATTATCGGCTCGATGATTGTTGGGACTGTTGCTTGTCATGGTGCTACAATTCACTATTCAACCAACTGGGGAATTAATGATTTATCAGGAAGTTGTAGCAGCCTCAGCAACAATAAAAAGTTTAGGAACTGATTTTTACTTGTTAAGAAAACAAAATCATTCTTTAATCCATGCTTATATTTCTCTGTGTGCTTCCAAATATGCTTAAACTGTTTGTGCCTAATAATGGGCGTTCTCATCAGTACCTCTTACCAGATATGGTAACGCTTCGAGTTACTAAAATTTGGTAGGGGAGTAAATTACCTCCTCTCTACCTCCCCAAATCTATTGCCAGATTTGGCAAACTATCTACTACTAAATATGGCAGGAGAGGTGATGAGAACGCACAATGTAATGTTTACATTTATTCCATTGTAACTTGGCAAATTTATGACGAGAAAAAGAATCATTACTTAATCGATCTTGTTCTTATATGGTAAATACGGGCGATTTTTGTTCATAAGAAAAGTCTTATTATGTTGCGTGTGATTAGATAATAATAATAATATAATACTCGATGCCGTCTATGTGAAATTCCACACCTTTTATGGTATTAGTATGTGACCTTCTCCCACGGTAGTTTAACATATTAATAGTAACACATCGGATGCAAATCTAATTTTGGATTTTCGATTTTTTTGTGTGGCATAATATATAAAATAGGGTATAACAAATTGTCGGAAAAGTGGTTAGTGATCATACAAGTCAATGATTTCAGAATTGAAATGGCGTTGCTTGATCTGGAGGTACTCCCCTTGGTCTGTAATTAACAACAACATAATTTTGCGTTGGAGAAGTATTATTATCTGGTGAATGGCGAAGCGCTTCTTGGGCTATTGTCATAGCGTGAGCTAGATTTTTGGCACCATGCGCTACTATGGCATATTAATATACTGCGCCTATTTTGCGTAAATGACGCGGAATAAGTCCATAAGATTTTAAATGTTTATTAAAATGTTTAGCTCCGGGTTTACCTGGATTCTCGAGTTTCCCAGATGATATTATTACACATCGATCACATCCATAATTAAATATCGCTTTTGTTTCACCTTTACGACTATTATTAAACCCCTGTCAATAACGTGATTATAGATCACACCTCATTCCAAAAAGGCCCCCGATTCGGCGCTTCAATACGGAGAGTATCACATGTTTGTGTAAGTAAAACGTATAAACAGGGCTGAGTAATTACACATTTTGCAAATGTTGATGAGAACGAAGGAGTAAACTTTTCAGGGATCTTTGAATTTGACGACGAATTACTTGATCATTCACAAGTGTTAACCAATGATCAAAGTAACACTGAAGAAGACAGAGTACATGGTATAATGTATTACTTTCTCTTACCAATCGAAGCTGGATCTCGCTATTATTGGGAAATTAGGAAAATATATCTTCATAAAAAGAATTCTGGACAAGCAACAGTGTATCTTGGTTGCACTCAAAGGATAGATCGAAAGCTTGCATATCCAGATAGTTGATCAGCAAAAAGAATAAGTGAAGCAAGACCTCCAATTGACTGATATGCATGTGAAGGCAAGATTGTAATTAACATTGATATCAACACACATTGTACAAAAGTAACAATCTGCCATCAAATAACTCATGAACATCCTACCTACCATGAAAACAAAATCCCTGAACGAGCCATAGAATGGATATCTAGTAATTTAAGACATAATCTTAGAAAAGTCGAAGTTTATAAGAGGCTCTGTGAAGAACAACATATTGACCCAAAAATACACACCTATTGCC